CCTCCTCCTCCATGCTTTACTGTGGGAAATACACATGGAGATCATCCGTTCACCCACACCGCGTCTCACAAAGACACGGCGGTTGGAACCAGAAATCTCAAACTTGGACTCCAGACCAAAGGACAAATTTCCACCGGTCTAATGTCCATTGCTCGTGTTTCTTGGCCCAAGCAGGTCTCTTCTTCTTATTGGTGTCCTTTAGTAGTGGTTTCTTTGCAGCAATTCGACCATATAGGCCTGATTCACACAGTCCCCTCTGAACAGTTGATGTTGAGATGTGTCTGTTACCTGAACTCTGTGAAGCATTTATTTGGGCTGCAATTTCTGAGGCTGGTAATTCTAATGAACTTATCCTCTGCAGCAGAGGTAACTCTGGGTCTTCCATTCCTGTGGCGGTCCTCATGAGAGCCAGTTTCATCATAGCGCTTGATAGTTTTTGCGACTGCACTTAAACTTTCAAAGTTCTTGAAATGTTCCGTATTGACTGACCTTCATGTCTTAAAGTAATAATGGACTGTCATTTCTCTTTGCTTATTTGAGTTGTTCTTGCCATAATATGGACTTGGTCTTTTACCAAATAAGGCTATCTTCTGTATACCCCCCCTACCTTGTCACAACACAACTGATTGGCTCAAACGCATTAAGAAGGAAAGAAATTCCACAAATGAACTTTTAAAGAAGGCACACCTGTTAATTGAAATGCATTCCAGGTGACTACCTCATGAAGCTGGTTGAGAGAATGCCAAGAGTGTGCAAAGCTGTCATCAAGGCAAAGGGTGGCTATTTGAAGAATCTCAAATCTCAAATATATTATGATATGTTTAACACTTTTTTGGTTACTACATGACTCCACATGTGTTATTTCATAGTTTTGATGTCTTCAGTATTATTCTACAATGTAGAAAATAGTAAAACTAATGAAAAACACAGGAATGAGTAGGTGTGTCCAAACTTTTGACTGGTACTCTACGTATTCACACCCCTTTGCTATGACACTACAAATTGAGCTCAGGTGCATCCAATTTACTTTGATAATCCTTGAGATGTCACCTGTGGCCAATTCAATTGTTTGGACATGATTAAGAAAGAAACACCTGTCTACAGTGCATTCGGAAAGTATTCAGACCCCTTGACTTTTTCCAAATTTTGTTACGTTACAGCCTTATTCTAAAATTGATTAAATAAAGGTTTCTCTCAATCTACACACAATACCTCATAATGGCAAAGCGAAAACAGGTTAAGAAAAGTTTACAAATGTATAAAAAAATAAAAATACCTTATTTACATAAGTATTCAGACCCTTTGCTATGAGACTCGAAATTGAGCTCTGGTGGATCCTGTTTCCATTGATCATCCATGAGATGTGTCCACAACTTGATTGGAGTCCACCTGTGGTAAATTCAATTGATTGGACATGATTTGGAAAGGCACATACCTGTCTATATAAGGTCCCACAGTTGACAGTGCATGTCAGAGCAAAAACCAAGCCATGAGGTCGAAGGAATTGTCCGTAGAGCTCCGAGACAGGATTGTGTCGAGGCACAGATCTGGAGAAGGGTACCAAAATATTTCTGCAGCATTGAAGGTTCCCATGAACACAGTAGCCTCCCTTCTTCTTAAATGGAAGAAGTTTGGAACCTCCAATACTCTTCCTAGAGCTGGCTGCCTGGCCAAACTAAGCAATCGGGGGAGAAGGGCCTTGTCAGAGAGGTGACCAAGAACCTGATTGTCACTGACACTCTAGAGTTCCTCTGTGGACATGGGAGAACCTTCCAGAAGGAGAACCATCTCTTTATTACTCCACCAATCAGGCCTTTATGGTAGAGTGGCCAGACGGAAGCCACTCCTCAGTAAAAGGCACATGACAGCCCGCTTGGAGTTTGCCAAATGGCACCTAAAGGACTCTCAGACCATGAGAAACAAGATTATCTGGTCTGATGAAACCAAGATTGAAGTCTTTGGCCTGAATGCCAAGCGTCATATCTGGAGGAAACCTGGCACCATCCCTACGGTGAAGCATGGACTGGGAGACTAGTCAGGTTCGAGGGAAAGATGAATGGAGCAAAGTACAGAGATCCTTGATGAAAACCTGCTCCAGAGCACTCAGGACCTCAGACTGGGGCGAAGGTTCACTTTCCAACAGGCCAACGATCCTAAGCAGACAGACAAGACAACGCAGGGGTGGATTCGGGACAAGTCTCTGAATGTCCTTGAGTGGCCCAGCCAGAGCCCGGAGTTGAACCCGATCGAACATATCTGGAGAGACCTGAAAATAGCTGTGCAGCGACACTCCCCATCCAACCTGACAGAGCTTGAGAGGATTTGCAGAGAAGAACTCCCCAAATACAGGTGTGCCAAGCTTGTAGCGTCATACCCAAGAAGACTTGAGGCTGTAATCGCTGCCAAAGGTGCTTCAACAAAGTACTAAGTAAAGGAGCAGGTCTGAATACTTATGTAAATGTCATTTTATTTTTGTAAAGATTTTATTTTGTGCAAAAATGTATACAAATCTGTTTTTGCTTCGTCATTATGGGGTATTGTATGTAGATTGACGAGGGGGGGAAAAAATTGAATTTACTCCATTTTAGAATAAGGCTGTAACGTAACAAAATGTGGAAAAAGTCAAGGGGTCTGAATACTTTCCAAATACACTGTATATAAGGTCCCACAGATGACAGTTTCTGCTCTGACATGCACTATGCTATACCATGAAGTCCAAGGAACTGTCCATAGATCACCGAGATAGACTTGTGATGAGGCATATATCTGGGTATAAAAGGGTATAAAAAAATGTCTAGAGTGTTGAAAGTTGTCAAGAGCACAGTAGGAAACATTTGGAAATTGAAAATATATGGAACTTCCCAGACTCTGCCTAGAGCTGGCCTTCCGACCAAACTGAGCAACCAGGCAAGAAGGACCTTGGTCAGAGAGGTGACCAAGAACCCAAACACCACTCCGGCAGAACTACAAAGTTCCTTGGCTGAGATGGGAGAACCTGCCAGAAGAACAACAGTCTCTACAGCACTTCACCAATCTGGGCTTTATGGAAGAGTGGCCAGACGGAAGCCACTCCTGAGAAAGAAGGAGTTTGCAAAAAGGCACATGAAAAGACAATGACCCCAAGTATACAGCCAAAGCAAAGCTGGAATGGCTTCAGAACAAGAATGTGAAAGTCCTTGAGTGGCCAAAGCCCAGACTTGAATCATATTGAAAATATGTGGAAAGACTTGAAGATTGCAGTTCACTGCCACTACCCATCTAATTTAACAGAGCTAGAGAAGATCTGCAAGGAAGAAAATCCCCAAATCCAGATGTGCAAAGCGGATACAGACATACCCAAGATGACTGAAAGCTGTAATCGGCGACAAAAGGTGCTTCTACAAAGTATTAAGTATTGAAAATAATTCTAAAAACATGTTTTCACTTTGTCATTATGGGTTATTGTGTGTAGAAGGGTAATAATTTTTTATTTTTTTTTAATCCATTTTGAATTCAGGCTTTAACACAACAAAATGTGGAATAAGTTCGGGAACTTTGGGGAGGTCCGTGTTCGTGATTATTATCCCCCACGGATGGTGGTCTTAGAGCCTCGTAGCTATGTCACAATGGGACGCCGGACTATTGTGTCTCAGCATCTGTGGACTATGATTTACACTTTTTGTTCCGTGCTGCATTTCCCCCTGGCAATGAGTGTGCCGAAACCTGGTTTCAAAGTACTTGTTTTCCTTCAAATACTTTGAGTGTGCGCAGATCAAGTATTTAAAAGAAAACAAATATGCTACTATTTGAACACGGGTGTCTTACAGCCAACCACAAAGGCACTGGGAGTAATCTACTTAATAGTCTCTCAGAAAAACAAGGTGAGGACATTCCCGGCCCAAAGACTGACATGGCACAATGTCCTTAGACGCCCTGAAAGTCCAAATGGCTTAGCCCAACTGGAATTAATCAGCCTGCCAAGAAATTCCGATAAATCATGATCAAATGTGATGTGAGTGTACCTGACAGGTAAGCAAAGGGCATCTGTCACTCAACTCAGCCCAAGAATAATAGGGCTTGTTTGCAGAGCACCGATACCATCTCCCACACTCACGCAGAGGAGGAGGAAGTGGAGGGCTGGGTTTGGCTTGGGAAAGCTGACGAGCCCAGCTGATCTGCTCATCTACAGGCAAACAGTGTTAAACTATAGGCCCCTGAGGAGATGATCTGTCAGAGCAGGAGAGTGTTATGAAAGAACGAAAAGTGGGCCAGAGGGAGAGAGGGGTGGAGTTTGGACTGGCACTGGCAACCACACAGGATACACTTTGCCCCTCAGGGCAAGTAGCATGGTTTTGATTAAATCCAGAGAGAAAAAAGAGAAAAGAGGGAGAGGAGCGGTTAGATGAATAAGCAGAAAAACAATGAGTCGTAAGAGATCTCTGACATGCAGAATTGCTTGTCTGGACTCAGGACCAGCATGTTTGTATTTGAAACAGCAGACTGTGCGTCAAGGCATTACCAGCCTACCAGTTCTCTTGTGCTGCTGCGCTGAGTGTGACTGAACAGAGAGGGGAGGCCAAAGCCTCTGCTGAGTCAAGAACAGTTTATCTCAGATTAAAAAGTCAATGTGGCAGTGAGGAGAATAGCTTTCACTGATTTAAATGGGTATTAATAAAAGGCTAATAGAAGAACAACTGACCCCCTACTCAGCAAAATAATGTGGTTCTTGAAAGTTAAGTGGAGGCAGACCAAATACATGAGTGACATCCTAACAAATCAGGAGGGCACTGACAGGGCTACTAAACAGCTGACTCTGATTTAGGATCAATTGACAGTGAAATTGGATCAACTGCTATTAGGTCACATTTAATAAGGGTCAACTCTTCAGTGAAGCCATATGAGTGAGTGAGCAGGTGAAATTTGTGTATGTGTGTCTATGTGAGGAGGAAGATAACCTACCTGGTAAAAGAGCAGTCCCTTCTCTGACTGACCAGGGGTTGGAAAGGGGAATGGGAGCGGTGTCACGCAGCACACGTGACTTGGTCCACCCGCACCTCCAGCTGGAAGGCGTCGGGCCGGTCCTGGGGGTTGACCGCCAGCATGTCCTGCAGCAGCTTCTTCACCCCCTCCGACATGGTGCTGCGTGTCTTCTGCGGGATGTGGAGCACCATCTTGGGGTTCCCCAGCAACGCCTCGCCCACCGGCACGATCTCGCTGCCCTGCCGCACATAGGTGCCCAGCAGCTCGCGCTTCGACTCAGCGTCGATGAAGGTGATCCGCTCCAGCATGGCCCAGATGATGATGCCCAGGGCGAAGATGTCCGCCTTGGCCGTGTAATGGCCCTCCCACACCTCGGGTGCCATGAAGAAGTCCGAGCCGCAAGTCGACGACAGCCAAAACTTGTTCACGTTCTTGTTGTCGCCGCTGCCCCCGCCACCATCTGTGGGATGCTCATCGCCGTCTTTGCCACCGGCGCCCAAGCCAGCGCAGACCTTGCTGAGGCCGAAGTCGGCCACTTTGAGCACAGGAAAGCCCGACTTCTGGGAGATGAGGATGTTGTCGGGCTTGAGGTCGCGGTGCACAATGTTGTTCTTGTGCAGGAAGGCCACGGCGCTGGTCAGCTGGCGCATGAAGCTCTTGTTGGTGCGCGGGTCGGGTCGCCGTGACAGGATGTACTGGTTGAGGTCCCCGCCCTCGCAGAACTCCATGACGAACCACAGGTAGCACGGCTCCTCTGGGTAGCCCAGAATCCGCTCACCTGGGGAAAGACAAAACGGCATTAAAGGGTAGCAAAAACATACACACCTGGCTGTGAGAGGCCTCACACACTAGCCTTAGTTTATTATAGCTCAGTAACATTGTGGAGGCCTCGGATACCCGCTCACTCCTGCTCTGCCTTGAGATGATTCTTGGATGACGTAAAAAGAACACAGTGTACGACTCGCCGCTTTGGGCATGCAACAAAGACCGAAGGGAACACAAAGCCAATCTGGTTGCAAGCACCATGGTGCTTTTCATCACATCTGTGACAATATGGATTTCAAGTGTGCCATGACAAAAACTTGGAAAAACAACAAATCACAGAGTGATGTAGTCTAATGAATGGGACTCTAACATGCTGACCACACTGCTCGCGTTACATGTGCTCGTGTTGCAAAATAAATAACACATACATGTTATTCGATCATTTCATCTAAACTGCTTGCGTGCGTTAACGAGCGTCTGCGTAGCTTTCCTGCTCTGACAGATCATCTCCTCAGGGGCCTGTAGTTTAACACTATATTTGCCTGTTGATGAGCAGATCAGCTGGGCTCGTCAGCTTTCCCAAGCCAAACCCAGCCCTCCACTTCCTCCTCCTCTGCGTGAGTGTGGGAGATGGTATCAGTGCTCTGCAAACAAGCCCTATTCTTCTTGGGCTGAGTTGAGTGACAGACGCCCTTTGCTTACCTGTCAGGTACACTCACATCACATTTGATCATGACTTATCGGAATTTCTTGGCAGGCTGATTAATTCCAGTTGGGCTTAGCCATTTGGACTTTCAGGGCGTCTAAGGACAATGTGCCATGTCAGCATGTAAGGGTCTATGGTTTGATTCTGGTCCCCATCAACCAGTAGACTACCATTCTCGATGGGAAGCAAATACAAATGGGTATAATTCCCCATTATCTTCTTTGACCAAGATCTGGGACTACACTGTTGAAGAAGAACAATTTGTAAAATAAAATAAAAATATATATAAAATAAAAATCTGCATTATCCCCAACTTGCAACGCGTCCTTAAAACAACATGTTCAGGCAACAGTGGAGGAGAGAAATGCTTGAACCAAAACAAACACTGTCTCGCTAATTTGATCCAGATCTGAGGGAGATGACACAGTGATCAAGTAACATATGGTACGAGATTAGTGTTTCCGATGCCGAGTCATAAGTCAGTATTTTTATGCATGCTCATTAGAAGTTAAAATCAGGTTTTAAACATCAAAGCGGGTTTAGCAAGGGTAGGCTGCCATCGTATTGAGCGGCTTTCCACTTTGAAAACACTAACCCCGCCCCCCTTCCACATCATGTGCAACGATTGCTATGAAAACAAATGGGACTTGTTGCTTAGGCCTAAATAAACTGTGGCGCGCTATCTACACACATTAAGATAGGGCTGTGTGCAACAGTGCAATCAGCGATGCACTGATCTTGGCTAGGGTATATGGGACTGTGTCCAAAGACCACAACTCAATGCAAACACGGGTAATATGTCTGTGCCCCACAATGTTTGGGCTTAGTCGGCATATTTGAGAGCTGAGGAGGGTGAGGTGAACTAATGCAAGCTATAGGACTACAAATCCGTTCAGACAGAGTCAAGGCCAAGTCCCTCTAGTCTCGCCAACATGGGGGGGTTGACCCTGAGATTTAAATGGGAATGGAAACAGTACCCCAATAACCCCCTTTATCCTAATTGTTTTTCATACCTGCACTGCCTTCAACAACGTCACACCCCCAGGATGTGAACAAAGTCTACAGTGGGACAAGGATAGAGAGAAGTTGAAAAAACCACTATGCCAACCACTTCTTTTGGTATTGGCTAACACATTAATTGACTTGCTGATATAGGTAAGGTCCTAATATGCAACATTTCTTCTCATGCAGCTTCTGAGTTTTCTGAAAATCTATGGGGAAATTTCAATAAAACTTGTTTCAAAATGTATTATTTCAGTTTATAAAATGCAGGGAGTAACCTAATTGTGCAGATTGTGCAAGATACAATACAACAACTACCTTACTTTATCAACTCAGACAGAAACGTGTCCAAAGATGGGATCAAGTTTATAATTTCCTGATGGACAAGCCCTGAGCAACACAATGCGGCTTTGTGAGATGGCATTGCAGACAACTCTATAGCACCGTATCCCTTTAGCCTAGCCTACTTATGAGACAGTGCTTAAGTGTGTTACCTGAGCACATATTGTCCAACAAGCTTTCATAGATATGATGATCATCCTATGTTCTTCAGAACACTATGCTCTCAAATCTGTGCAGAAAGTGGGTTAACCTGACCAATATTGATGATAATGTAAAAAAAAATGGCCAAAACATTTCTATTGACTTTTAGACTATATAGCCCAGAGAAGCACCTTCTGTCTTTAAAATTATGGCTCTTTAAAATTATGGCTATTGGCTAAAAATAAGTCAAGATTAATATTTCATTTGTTGACAAGTGTAATGGCCCGAATGGTGACACTTACATAAGGGCATTTCCATGTAAAAGGACCCATGTGCACCAACGTGAAGTTCATAGGAGCATGTCAAATGAAAGATAATAGTCATCTCATTATTTATTTTTTAATTAAGGCATATAAACATTTTTCAACCATTTTCCATCCTACAAATTAGGAATAAGCAAAGGCTTTGATTTCTGGTCAAGCAGATGGAAAGGGATCTTAGAAAACATCTACCAGAAAAAGTCTTAAGTTATTATAAATCAATCAAAACACAATAATGTTGAAGTAAAGACCTCTGCCAACTATTACCTACACATATTTAGTTTGATAAATTATTTGCCTTCTGTAAGTTCAAGAAACATTGCCTTGTGCATTGTAATTCTTTAAGATATTTTCTAATTTCTCTCCCTCATGAGAAGGGAGGATAATGAAAGTTCACAGAAGTAACAAGTAAAGGTAGACCTACCTACCAATTAGTTATAGTATTTTTACTGATATCACGTTTGTTTTAATAATTAAGTGATGAAAACTTGTAATTCTGTTACCAAACTTTGCATCTGCACAGTTCTTCCAGTAAATGTGTTTTTGTAAAATGTTCAATGGAAATTGTTAAAAGTTGTCCTTGTCTAGAGAGTTGTATGGTTTGTTAAACTTTGAAATCTATGTATTTTGTTCAGCAATATTTTGAAGTAAAATAATCGGAGTCTCAGCGTAATTTAGTTACCATGGAATTGCCCATAACCAACTATTTTTAAAAAAGGGCAGCAAAGGCAGTACAGGGGCTGAAAGCTCTGAACATTAAGCCTAGAGATTAAAAACAATATTCATAAGTATCTGTTTCTCAAAAAAATTAAAATAACATCTACTCCTATTTAATAGACATTTCACATTTAGGTTAAATAAGCTTGATTAGGAAAAAATACAATTAAGTAGAGTACATTTAATAATAATAAATATAAGAGGAAATAGCATAGGTAAATATCATAAATTGCGTGAAATATTGATTGCATAATTGTATCATGTATGCAAATTTGCAACCAACCAGGAGAGGGTTAACTGATGGCCAACTAGAACACTGTGTTCTCTCAAGTGTTGGAAATAGCACACATTTACATTTTTTAGTCATTTAGCAGACGCTCTTATCCAGAGCGACTTACACCGTGCCTATACAACAGTATGGCAACGTGAACCTATAGGTGGGGAAACCGTTTTACTAAAAACAAATGTATGACACTGAGCAACTGATTACAAAATCAATAATGATGGATAACTATTCTAGATGTTTACATACTGCCCGCCCATCTAACAAGTCGCCCAATAGAAACAATAGGTAACGTGTTAAAGTGTTTAAAAAAACAAACAAAAACTTTTGGTTTATTTCCCTTATCTACCTCGTTTTTTGATATGCTGATCAGCACTTTTGCCAAATTAGCCTACTTTTTGCAAACAATTGGTAAAACACTGAGCTAGCAGCTAGCTTGCCAATGAAACCATTGTTTTGATTGGCCTGCTCTGTATTGATCACAGATCTAACTAGCAAGCTATCTTATCAATGACATGTAGACTAGTTACTGTCATTAAAAAGGGTGACAAGACAACCAAACAGGCTGTGGATTATATCAACGTAAACATTAACTAACTACCTACCTAGCTAGATAGTTACCTTTTAGTGAAGTCTCCACCAACCGCAGGTATTGTTTGGACCTTTTATTTCCATGACTCATTTTCTGGGCCATGCCATTCCTTTGTAGTACACATTCCTCGAGCTGCACCACATTCTCGTGCTTCGTCTCCAGGCTTGCCAAGGCCCAGAATTCGGACAGAGCGAGTTCCACATTTTCGGGAGCGTTGCACTGCAGTTTTTTAACCGCTACCCTTGCCCCAGTCCTCAGAGCAATTGCCTCGAACACTACCCCATAGCTGCCCCTTCCTACCTCCCGCAACAGATTGTAGCGTGGTGCCATAACTATAGCATGTTCCAGGTTCTCGTTCTTGGAATAGTTCATAGAGAAACAGTCCTCCTCTATAGGGACATCGATGTCTTCGTTGCTGTTGTTGTTCCCTACCACCAGCGCCCTCAATACTTTGACCACCTCTCGTTTTACCTCCCGTTTCGTCTTCATTTTGGCGTTCTGTGCTTCAACCAGCCTTTTGAAAGCCCGCAGACTTCTTGGGGTTGTTATATTTCGACTTCTCCCGTTGCATATATCCATGACTTCTTTTTAGTTGAAAACAAGTATTTAGGAAAAATATGTTTATCTTTCATTACTTGAGTTAAAACTAATGATCAAACTTCATTAGTAACAAAATCAGATAACCCTCTCTTTCTTCAAATACTGTACATCTATTTATATGATGCCGCTCTTTGAACACATTTGATTCATAAACAACTGTACTGCCTCAAATGTACAAAAGGAGAGGGGAGGGAGTGGCTTTCTCGGAATTCTTCTTCTTCTATGATATCATACCGGTCCGCAAACAATCGTTTAAGTGCATGCCGCCACCTACTGTGCTGGAATGTACGATCAATCATGATCTGCCCAATTATGTACTACCATGAAAATAAAATTCTAAACCAAATAAATCCATAACTTCTACCACACCCTCCCCAACCCCATTAAACTTTATCTATATAATGCTGAAACACTCCACCCTTAGGATTGTTCAGCAGGTCAACAACCATTTCAACAGTAACATCTGTTACCCCCAATATCTCTTTTGCCGTCTCCACAATAACCTTCAACCTGGCATTTCTGCTTTCCACAACCCGAGTCGTATTGATAACCTTACCAATAAAAGCTATGAAATCAACTTTATTCATTATCAAAGTGTCCTTTGACACTGCAAATTCATGAGCACAAGATTTCTGAACAGGCCTCGAAACCATGCCAGGACCATCAGAAGCACCAGCCCCGACAGTAGGTCCACTTACTACAGGTACATCCATGTAAGCTCCATCAGTCCGCACTGTAGTTCTACCAATCAGTTTTACGGCCTCTGCATACGATACATCATGACTGATCTTATATCTCTGAGCCTCTCTAGCCTCTGTACCTGGCATCCACCAAATGCTGCACTGTGTTCTCCCCCACAATTACAGCACTTAACCTTCACATTGCTTCCACATTCACCATAATCATGTGCCCCTCCACACTTGGCACATATTTTCTTTCCTTTACACTGAGCAGCTACATGTTCCATTCTTTGGCATTTAAAACACTGCAGTGCATATGGGACAAATTCTCTAACATTGAAACTAAGGAATCCTATTTGTACTTTTCCCGGCAAGACTTTCTCAAACCTCAGCATCACTGATAAGCTTTCACTTCTTTGACCCTCTTTCCTACTGATCAACCTTTTGGCCTCAATCACTCCTCATCCCTTCACATTTTCTTTAATATAATCTGTGGACATAGATATTGGGACACCAGTGATGACTCCCTTCAATCTAGCATAAGCACCAGGGACATGGCTTTTAATCTTCTACCCATTCAGCTTTTACATTTTCAAAATCTTCTCTTGCTGAGCATGGCTACCACACAATATTAACAATCTACCATTTCCAATGAACTGAGCTAATTTCACTTCACCTACCTCTTTCTCTACTGCATTAGTTAGTCAGAGAGGGTGTAAGTGAGGCCCTGTGGTCTCATCAAACACTATCACCACTTTCCACTCCAACACATCACTACTCTTGCTTCCTACCTTGGCCCTCTTTATGCTTTCTTTACTAGACGCTCCACTACTTTCTGTATAATGATCTCTTTTCCTCCTATGTCTTTCCACTACCGACCATTCCGGCCCTTGACCCTCATCCTCCCGCTCCATATCATCAGAACTGACACCCATATTGTTGTCATTCCAGCACAGCTGTAGCTTCACCAACTTTTTTTCAATTTCCTCCATTTCGTCCGCACTACCTGCCACCATTTTCCATTAACCTCTTACCACATTTCTGCAATAGCGAAACAAGTTTCAATGACATCAATCAACTCTCACTTGTGGTCAAACAATCGGTCTCATTAGTTTCTAGTCGCACTTCTCTGAGCATCGGAACCCTGACACAAGGTCGCCCAGCCCTTGCTCTGACTGGTCCATCTCACAGAACAAGCAGGGCCATGTTCAATTGCCAAACATTCTCAAACGTTACAGATAGAAATGCCATGCATGTCAGAGTGGCATGTTTGTCTTACATAGGGTATTTCTATCTGCTTAAGCCAGTACATGTCCAGGCCCGTCTGAAGTTTGCTAGAGTGCATTTGGATGATCCAGAAGACGATTGGGAGAATGTCATATGGTCAGATGAAACCAAAATAGAACTTTTTGGTAAAATCTCAACTCGTCGTGTTTGGAGGACAAAGAATGCTGAGTTGCATCCAAAGAACACCATACCTACTGTGAAGCATGGGGGTGGAAACATCATGCTTTGGGGCTGTTTTTCTGCAAAGGGACCAGGACGACTGATCCGTGTAAAGGAAAGAATGAACGGGGCCATGTATCGTGAGATTTTGAGTGAAAACCTCCTTCCATCAGCAAGGGCATTGAAGATGAAACGTGGCTGGGTCTTTCAGCATGACAATGATCCCAAACACACCGCCCGGGCAACGAAGGAGTGGCTTCGTAAGAAGCATTTCAAGGTCCTGGAGAGGCCTAGCCAGTCTCCAGATCTCAACCCCATAGAAAATCTTTGGAGGGAGTTGAAAGTCCGTGTTGCCCAGCGACAGCCCCAAAACATCACTGCTCTAGAGGAGATCTGCATGGAGGAATGGGCCAAAATACCAGCAACAGTGTGTGAAAACCTTGTGAAGACTTACAGAAAACGTTTGACCTGTGTCATTGCCAACAAAGGGTATATAACAAAGTATTGAGAAACTTTTGTTATTGACCAAATACTTATTTTCCACCATAATTTGCAAATAAATTCATTAAAAATCCTACAATGTGATTTTCTGGATTTTTTTTCTCATTTTGTCTGTCATAGTTGACGTGTACCTATGATGAAAATTACAGGCCTCTCTCATCTTTTTAAGTGGGAGAACTTGCACAATTGGTGGCTGACTAAATACTTTTTTCCCCCACTGTATCTTAGCTGGCATGCCTGCTGGCAAGGTTGGTAGACTTTAGAAAAGCAACAAATAACTAAATGTACTGTATAAGACTATTTTACCTATATTTTAGCAGAGATGCATATTTAGTATCTTTACGCTTTGATCTGTAGAAAAATATACATATTTTTTAAAGCTGAATTAAGCATAATGATTTTGGCTCTAGATTGAAGAAAAAATCTTTCAGGTGTTAAAAAATGCGAAATTATCCATGCATGGTTCAGTGTTGCTTGCCTCGAAGCGAGCATTGAAGGCATTTAACTTGTCTGTTAGGCTTGTGTAACTGGGCAGCTCGTGGTTGGGTTTCCCTTTGTAACCCGTGATAGTTTGCAAGCCCTGCCACATCCGACGAGCGTCAGAGCTGACGTAGTAAGATTGTATCTTAGTCCTGTATTATCGCTTAGCCGGTTTGATGGGTCGTCGGAGGTCGTAGCTGGATTTATTATTAGTGTCCAGATTAGAGTCTCTCTTTATTTAGTGTTGTGTTGTCTCTCTTATTTTGATGTGTGTTTGGTCCTATATTTATATATATATTTTTTTAAATCCCAGCCCTCGTCCCCGCAGGAGGCCTTTTGCCTTTTGGTAGGCCGTCATTGTAAATAAGAATTTGTTCTTAACTGACTTGCCTAGTTAAATAAAGGTTAAATAAAAATAAGAAAATAAAAAAGAGTCCCGCTCCTTGAATGCGGCAGTTCTAGTCTTTAGTTCAGTGCGGCTGTCGCCTGTAATCCATGGCTTCTGGTTGGGATATGTACAATGAGGGAAAAAAGTATTTGATCCCCTGCTGATTTTGTATGTTTGCCAACTGACAAAGAAATGATCAGTCTATAATTTTAATGGTAGGTTTATTTGAACAGTGAGAGACAGAATAACAACAAAAAAATCCAGAAAAAAGCATGTCAAAAATGTTATAAATTGATTTGCATTTTAATGAGGGAAATAAGTAGTCCTTCTAACCCCCCCCCCAAATTGTAAAGTGGTTATCCCACTGGCTATAGGGTGAACGCACCAATTTGTGAGTTGCTCTGGCTAAGAGCGTCTGCTAAATGACGTTAATGTGCCCTTGAGCAAGGCACTTAACCCTAATTGCTCCTGTAAGTCGCTCTGGATAAGAGCGTCTGCTAAATGACTAAAATGTAAATGTAAGTATTTGACCCCTCTGCAAAACATGACTTAGTACTTGGTGGCAAAACCCTTGTTGGCAATAACAGAGGTCAGACGTTTCTTGTAGTTGGCCACCAGGTTTGCACACATCTCAGGAGGGATTTTGTCCCACTCCTCTTTAAAGATCTTCTCCAAATCATTAAGGTTTCGAGGCTGACGTTTGGCAACTCAAACCTTCAGATCCCTCCACAGATTTTCTATGGGATTAAGGTCTGGAGACTGGCTAGGCCACTCCAGGACCTTAATGTGCTTCTTCTTGAGCCACTCCTTTGTTGCCTTGGCCGTGTGTTTTGGGTCATTGTCATGCTGGAATATCCATCCACGACCCATTATCAATGCCCTGGCTGAGGGAAGGAGGTTCTCACCCAAGATTTGACGGTACATGGCCCCATCCATCGTCCCTTTGATGCGGTGAAGTTGTCCTGTCCCCTTAGCAGAAAAACACCCCCAAAGCACAAGGTTTCCACCTCCATGTTTGACAGTGGGGATGGTGTTCTTGGGGTCATAGGCAGCATTCCTCCTCCTCCAAACACGGTGAGTTGAGTTGATGCCAAAGAGCTCGATTTTGGTCTCATCTGACCACAACACTTTCACCCAGTTCTCCTCTGAATTATTCAGATGTTCATTGGCAAACTTCAGACGGGCATGTATATGTGCTTTCTTGAGCAGGGGGACCTTGCGGGCGCTGCAGGATTTCAGTCCTTCATGGCGTAGTGTGTTACCAATTGTTTCTTGGTGACTATGGTCCCAGCTGCCTTGAGATCATTTATTTATTTATTTTTATTTCACCTTTATTTAACCAGGTAAGCCAGTTGAGAACAAGTTCTCATTTACAACTGCGTGTAGTTCTGGGCTGATTCCTCACCGTTCTCATGATCATTGCAACTCCACGAGGTGAGATCTTGCATGGAGCCCCAGGCCGAGGGAGATTGACAGTTCTTTTG